AATATTGCCTTCTACTCACTATAAACTTTATCCAGACCAGACCACTTAAAGATTGCTCTAATTTGGCTCTTCAGTTACGAACAATAGGATGAGGAATAACCAATTCTTTGCTTAAAAGCCAACTTCAAAAAAAGCTGATGGGTATTTACCTTGATGTTTTGTCATATTCATTCCAACAAGGTAACCAAGAATCAGATCATTAAACATGTTTTTTCATTTTCTGCAACGAGTTCCAGAGGCAGTAAGAAACAGCTCTGGGAGTGCCTCTGGGCAAAAGATAAAGGTGGCTACAGCTAGTGGAAGTGGTAATTAGAGCCAATTACAACTTGACTTATCTGCTTTGTCATTAAAATACCTGTCAGAACTCTCATTTTTCTAAACAAGAGGAAAAGAAAAGGGATAGCTTAGTGGGGGAGAGGGTTAGCCAAAGGGAAGGGATTTCTAATGCTGTTCACAAACTTGCCCAGTAACCTTAGACATCCTCATTGCCTTTTGGCTTCACCCTGCTTTGCTCACAGTTAAACTCTTAATTCTGGGAACTGAAAGGGACCTGGGAAATCACCTAGTCCAGTCACCTGCCTTCTAGAAGGTAAGGTATTATTATAGTTCCATTTTTTTCAAATGAGACATGAAAGACCCAGTGAATTTAACTCAAGTATGTCTCTGCCTCTTAAGTGCAATGATTTGGTCTCACTTTCAGTTTAATTGTTATGAGGAGTGTGTAATTATTCTCACAGATACTTTGTGTACAGGTTAACACAATAACCACAGAGCAATAACCCTAAGGGAAGCTTATAAATATAACATCCAAAAGAGATACTTAGAATGGATGGGTCTTCAGGAAAAGTAAACAGAAATGGACCTGGCTCTTCAAAGAACTGGCTGGAGGAAAGAAAATGGATCATCCTTACTTTCAGCAGTGCAACAAAAATTGAAAGGACAAGAATGCTACTAATGGACATATCAAATTTCAGAGAAAAAGCAAAAACAGCAGTGAAATTGTGTCCCAAATCAAAGCTCCTAAAGTTGGGCTTCTTATAATAACAGTTCCTTACAAATACCACTTTAAAAGTCTACCTTATACAATCCCTTGATCTTTTTTTTCTCCCTTTTGTCCTTCAAATTGTAGTCTGGCCACTGAATGCCTGGACTCATTATCTGTCTTTCTGTTTCCAATCTTTCTTCACCTAGCATTCTAAACCAAATTACCTCTGCCTAAATCACCATCTTTACCTGCTACTGTGAACACTTCATTTGCCTCACAAACCCTTGCTATCCTCTATATTGAATTACTCATTATTTCAAGGCCATCAATCCACTCCATCTAGTTTGTCTCTTTCTCCATCTTTCTCAGCTTTTGTTCCCTTTCAATACTACTTTCTCCTGATATACCTGAAACAAAGCCCATCCTTGCATTTGGTAAACCATCTCTCTTCACCTTTCCTGAAATCCAACACCTACTTAATGTGAAGGCTATAGGGACAGAGCAGGGCACATTTAACAGGTAGGAGTCTCTTAGGAGTCATCTAAAGCACTTAGCTAAAGATTACAGCCAGGCCTCTCCTTAACACACATTTACCAGGGAGGGAAAGGGCGAGCAAAATATCTAGGAGCAAAATGAGGAGTGTTACTAGGTAGATTGCTTGGGGTGTGCTGAGTACTAAAGACGACATGCCTATAGCATTTGAGAATTTGAGAATTACCCTTTAATTCCTTAAAGTTGTGCCTTTATTCTCTTTAATAAAGGTTTCAATTTATATGCTATCATTGCCATTATTAGACACAGTAAATATTCTGAATTTTCTTTACCCTCATGTAAGAATGTATATATGTATATGCTTAAACTGTCGCACAGATGAATTCTTGAAACATGGTCCCTCCTTGGGCTTGGCTCAGATTATAGGTTTTTGAAAAAAAGATTAATCAATGGTGGGAAATTTTTAATTCTCAAAGAGTAATTTTGACTTGAAGATAGCCAAAAGTCACTTGGGATTCAATCTGGTGACAGAAGATGGGTAATAATTTTAGTGAAATAAACAATAGGATTGACCTATTTTAAAACTGTAGATACTTATTTTATCTACAGCATTGCAACATGCCACCCTCCAAAGAAACAACAGACACTAGGATAGGTGAGGAACTGCTTTTAAAGTTTTGTCTGGAGCACACAAGGATCCGACTTTATATGAAAAGAGGCACAGAAAATGGGTGGAGCTAAGGGAAGTCCATAACACAATTCATTCAGCTCTTTGAGATGCCAGGTAATATGGTTTCCATCTACCTACTATGCTATGAGTTCTGGATGAGATGGTAGCCCTGTTTGACTTAAATGAATGATACATACAGCTGTTAGGAAGCAGAAAATGGTGTTGAATTACACAGAGACAACCAAAACTAACACAAACACACACAGGCTTCCCAGTATGTAAATTCTTTTTGAGGTTAGAGATCTCCTTTTACAGAATTTAGTATATAACAGATTCAAAAATTCAACTTCTTGATTCCTTAATATTAAATAACTCAATGTTGCAAAAAAGAACCACCATTTAAACAGGACATCAAAAGCTATAATTTTCTTATGAAACAATATGTGCACAGATTTTCAAAGCTGTGAAAATGCAATAAAGAGCACAACACATTTTGGTCACTTTATTAAATGACATTAAATAGTTTAAGTTTCAACTACTAAAAAGCACTTGAAGTGAAAACACAGATAGTATTTATTGTTCATACTGAGCTTTTTCTTTAAAAAACCAACAATTCCAGTCCTTATATATATTACCAAAAAAGCCTTTAAGGAAGGAAGTGACATCTTTTCTACAGTACTTAAGATACTCGAACAAACTGAAAAGCAGTCTAACTAACAAAGGCAGTTCTTCACGCTGTATGATTCAGGCAGCCAAACTTGGATGATGGACTGAAAACATTACTATACAGTGGGACAAAACATATACAGTATCACAATACTAAGCAAAAACGCTTTACACCCAAAGAAAGAAAACAGGTTACAAAATGTGGAGAATTTAGCAGGCAAAACTGTCTTACAAGCAACATTTTAAATCGTCATTTTTAAGCCATTGCAACTATTTAAAACATCTAAAACAAATATAAAAATGAGCTTTGTAGTACTTTATTGATGTGATTTTTTTGTCTTTAGATATTTGTTAAAACTTGATGTTATACTCAAAGTACATATTATGTAGCTAAAATGTCAAGTGAGAATAGTGTATGCAAAGTGGTCCAAGTTTTTATTTCAAACTCTGATTCCCAATTAATCCTTCTAAGCATTATTCTTTAAGTCATAGTTTCATCCACGGTGAAGAAGGTTTAGAAGGCTGTCTAAAATTTTTACATCTGTATACTTGAGTAATAAGACCATGCTGAAAATTCCCAGGTCTAGTAAATCAGGTTTAAAATATTCTGGACTTGTAGAAATATCAACTGATAAATAGTTGGCCAGAGCATACTGCCTTCAAATATTTCTCTCATAAATCTTGTCTTTTTTACTTCTTCTAAAGTAAACACAAATCTGCCCTCCTCCACCCCAATTAAATAAATTTGACTCTACGGCTGGCCTGCTATCCCATTATATGGAATTTGTTAGCGGTATTTTACCATAGGAAGGTGGGGGATGGACCTATCAAACCTCACAAATTCTATATCATAAACCTAGTGCTCTTGCATGTTTTACCACTAGTTCTTCCAAGATAAAAATGGAAATCTCTTTCTCTTTATTATCCAAACAACTCAAAACAAGTTTAGCTAATGTTAACTTCATCAAAATCCAGTGATACTTAGAGCAATCCTCCAATCAGCTTTCTTTATTCCATGATTCTTCAGCTGTTTTTACTACCTGTTACATCACCATCTCAAAAATGGTTTTGCCATGTTGACTCCTATAGTTAAAAACAATCTTTTTCTTTAAGAAACTCAAGCAACCAAATTGAACATGAATAAACTTAGAGGTCATTTTTACAAACCTGGATGTAGAAAAAGAAATGTAATGATTTTCTTCTAGCAAAACCTCATAAAAGGACGTTAGATGAATTAGTTTGGAGGAGAAAATCACCTCACAGATCTAAACTGAAAAAAATAATAAAGTTTAAAACCACTTAAGAAAAATGTAAGGAAATTGGAGAAAGGAACATGGTGATGAGAGAGAAAAAAAAAGCATAGAAGCCAGTGAACCTTATCTTTAAGAGGAATTATTTCGCAATACTGACAGTCCTGGGAATTGTTAAAGCACATTCCTCATGTGAACTTAAAAGTCAGAGATGATTCTGCCATTTTGATGTTGCTGAAAAAAAAAAAAAAAAACAGGGCGTGAACCTAACAACCACATCTTCAGTGTTAACCTCCATTTTTAAAACGCTAGAACTTGATTTTCTATTCCACATCCCACTGCCAGCAACAGGATGAAGCACTAGCACTGGCACCATGCAGTTAAGAGATGTGCTTTATATTAGTGCCAGGAGAAAGAAATTCATGTGTGGAAGATAATCCATGACCCTGAAATTTTACCAGTAATTATTTCAGCACATAGAACTGAAAATAAAAAAAATGGCAGAAAGACTAAAGAAGAAAAAGGAGTTCTCTTCTTAGGCTGTACTTAAGGCTGTTTATACAATGCTAAGATAACTGCAAGACCCTCTGACTTTGAGTAGTAGTATTTAAGAATATTGCACACGATTCTGTGTCCAAGATAACCCTTAGCTTCTAACTTTCAATCACAGACATGATATAGCAGGATCCCAGTTTCAGACTTCAGTCAAAAGAACATTAAGACCATTTCAGTCACTCTAATCAAGAAATGGGTTGAGTATAAAAGTATTTCATAATTGAGGAATCAACTCTAAGAACTCAGCTGTGTGATTTTATATGGAAAGAATGAATATAGAAATCTTTATTCTTTTCTAAATTCACTAATTTTATGACAATTTTATGGTTGCTAAAAGCTGGCATAAAAATTTAGAGAGGAAATCTGTGGAGCTGTTACTGTATGGAAGGACTTGTTTTCACTGAAAACAATTTGAACTATCTTCTGTACTCAATGTGTGTAAGAAGATTCTAGGCAATATCACTGACAAATGTCAGGGAGAAATGGTACGCCCTATTTAAAAAAATTTAAAACTAATATGTAAGATTGGCATTTAAGGGGACCAAACTATTTATACAGTTGAGTTCTGTTAAGTTATTGATTCCTAAAAAAATAAAAGATCTTTCTATGATTTTAACAATCCTTTAATCTTTTAGTGCAAAATCACATCGGTTTCCCCTGGGAAGGTCCTGGATTTTTGCTTCTCATCGGGGGTGGTGCACGCTGTAATGGTGGCGGCTGCATACCACCAGCCACTGACTGATACATTCCTCTCATATCAATCTGCTGGTAGTTAGAAGGATTCATGATTAAATTTGGAGGCTTTGGCATCATGAGGTGACCCAGTGTTGCTTGTTGATAAGTCATTTGTTGTTGCTGCTGCTGATTGTACTGCTGTTGCAGCCTTCTGTTCATAAGTATTCGCTGAACACAGCTGATTAACTAGAGAGAGAAAAGAAAGCTGTTACAAGTGGATGACCTGTCTCAAAGAGGCAAGTATCAAGTTTTGAGTTAAAATCAATTTGTTAAGGGGGTACCATACCAAAAGGAAAACACATTGTTATCACCATTACTAATTTGATGGCATTCACAGGGCCATTACTGTAGAAACCAGTTAGTAACACCATTTAAGGCTAAATTCTCTTAATGACTTGACTATTGTATTACAAGCAGCATTTGGGTTAGTTGCCATGGTAACCTGTCCTACACTGTGATTAGTCTCAAGTATTAGTTACAGCATTTTTTGTCATCTCCTTTCTTTGTCATTCTTCTGAATATTTCACATGATGACACACAAATAAACATTTTGGTGACAAACAGCAAAGGGAAAAAGTACTTGCAGTAGGAATAATTCCTACCTGGAATGTCTCAAATTTCCTAAGATAATTTAAAACCAAATAGTTGTGCTGCTTTCTAAGTAAAATCCATGCCACAGAAATTGATTCCCTGGTGTCAAGAGTTGAAATTTCCCAGTGCAGTGCAAGACAGATGGCTGGCAAAGGACTGCTGGGAAAGATAATCGAGGATCCTGGAATATTCTAGCTTTTTGGAGAATTAGGTAATTTAGAAGGAACTTGTGAGATATATCATCCAGAGCTCCACTTCTTACTCTCAAATTAAATATACTGAAAAGTACACTTTTTAGAAGTTGTTTAAAAATGGCAAAGGTGATAAAGGCCTGGCAAAAGTTCCTGGATGTTCAGAATATATGAAAAATAAAATTATAATGAAAGAGAACCATTTGGGAAATGTTGCTTCCTTGTAACAAACCCAGTATCTTCACTTGACCTTACTAGGTTCTCAACAAAACTCTAAGAATAATCAGTGACCCCCCATTCCTCTATAGGAGGGATGGTACTTGAAATAGTCACACAAACGTAGAGATAGTCAGAATTCTTACCATCTGTTGTTTTGTCAACACGTCGTTGTAGATTGCTTCTCTTCGTTTAACATCAAGCTCCTGGCTGGCTTGTCTACTTAATGCTAGTGCCTGTACTTGGGCCTCTGAGAGATTCATGTTCTCCTTCCACTAAAAAAAAAATGATCTATTTACTCCTTACTACTGTGTAATTGAGGAAGAATAATTAAGGCACCAAAAGATATTGAGCATTTTACAAATTTCCCCCCCATTTCCTTTATTCTTTCCTAAAGGACACAGTGGTGGAAAAGCAGGATACTAAGATGTACATGGGTTGGCTATCTCTGGAATGAGAAAATGGTAATTAAAATGTGTTTATGAAAATGATACATACATTTTTATTTCCTGATTCTTAGATTTTACCCATTTTGCTTTTGTGCTGATATCTATATAATAAGCTGATAGATTACAGTTTGGGACTTTTTACCCAGTTTGCTAGTACTTAACTCCTGCAAGTCAAGTTATAGGAATCACATTTTTTCCCCACAGAAATAGTGCCACAAACAACTGAAAATTAAAACAGTTAGCTGGGCAGGGTGGTGTACCCCTGTAATCCTAGAACAGGATCGTTAGTATGAGGCCCATCTGGGCTATACAGTGAGTTTCAGAGTAGCCTGGTCTACAAAACAAGAACCTGTTTCCAAAACAAATAAAACGAATGGTGCAGTAGAGGGGGAGGGGTGTGCACAAACTGGAAGTTGAAATAACACAACTGTCAATTTGCTTACTACAGCTGAAATTATATCTTCAAGAGGCTGAATCCTCACTGCTGTTACACTGTTTGTTGCTTCCACAACTTTTTCTCTTCCTTGATTAATAAGGTCCTAGAAGAATGTAAGAAATGAGTTAAACAGGGCAGAAGGACAGCATAGTTTTAAAGTGAGGTGCCTTCCTCTTGCTGATTTATATCACTTAGTTTGTTTATTTATTTATTTATTTATTTATTTATTTATTTATTTATTTATTTTAATTGTTTTATTATTCATATGTGCATACAAGGCTTGGGTCATTTCTCCCCCCTGCCCCCACCCCCCTCCTCCCCCCACCCCTCAATACCCAGCAGAAACTATTTTGACCTTATCTCTAATTTTGTTGAAGAGAGAGCATAAGCAATAATAGGAAGGAACAAGTGTTTTTGCTGGTTGAGATAAGGATAGCTATACAGGGAGTTGACTCACATTAATTTCCTGTGAGTGTGTGTTACCGTCTAGGTTAATTCATCTTGATCTAACCTTTTCTCTAGTTCCTGGTCTCCTATTCCTATTGGCCTCAGTTGTTTTTAAGGTGTCTTATAGCACTTAGTTTTAAAACTCTTTAACTAATTGAAGACAAGCAAACTTCAGCATCAATACAGTGTAGTAAAACTCACTGATGACAGAAGGGTCTTTCTAGGAAGATAAAATTTGGTTTTCATTGCACCAATAATTTAAATGAATCCATAAAACACATTTAAAAAAGGAAACCACAGATTCAATTAAATTATTAAACTACTGGTAAAATAAAACTCAGTCTTCTCTAATTCATATTTGATTCTAGTTTTAAATCATTTGCTTCATTATACTGGACATTATCATATACTTTATGATGTCTCTACCTTGCATTAAAATGTAAATTAATGTATTTATCTTACCTTTAAAAATTAAGCAAGTTATTTGTTTATTCCAAATATTTTATAACTGAAGAAAGTGCTGTTTTCCTAGCCATTCAGCTGCCCTATTGTTCCTTAATTAAAATAATTCAAACTACATAAGTTCAAGGACTGATTCCCTCATGCCCTGAACAAACTGCATCTTATTATATTATGTTGGTTCCAAAAGGTCAACAAATAAAAGAAAAATGTCTTGGTCTATTCAGAGGTAATCTTTTGGAGAATGTGATATTCCTACGTAGGGAACCCTCAACAAGGCACTTAAAATTGCCTCTAATTCATGTTAAAATACTTTTGTACTTCCCAATTTACCTCCAGCTGTTGATTACTCATTGCTGACAGGGCTCCCAAATTGAAAGGAATATAAGGAGTCTGAGAGTTGAAAGTGACAGGGGGTAAATTGGTCCCGGTTGGTATGTTGAAACGCATGGTCAGTCCCTAAAAACAAAAAAATTATGCACTTTTCACACTGTGATTTAAAACTTGAAATTCTACATCACCTACTGGTTTAGAAAAGAATCCACATTCTCATATCTAGGAAATTATTAACACTCTTCCACACACAAACAAAACACCCTTTTCACCCGAAACCAAGATCTTATTACACGGAAAGCTTTAACCCCTAAAGGTGTACTCCCCCCCTTCCCCCCACCGCCGATAATTCCTATAGAATGAGGCAACTCAGTGAATTCTGATGAGACTCTTAACATCACATTAATGTTAAAGAAGTTTGGTACAATGTGCTACGGGTTTAAAAAGGATTCAGGTATTAGGGTAAGGTTTCTTATGCTCAGGCACATTTTTGCTCAACTGGGTTGGTGTTTAAAACAGACATCATGAAAAAGTTGCTACTGGAGATTGACACTAATGTCCAATAATAACATATTTTGTGTTCTGATATTCAGCTAACATTTGGACTTCATGGTATACATGCTAAAGCAATTCCTACTTCCAGGCTCTAAGCTCCTGGATGTTTGTGACTACAGCTGATAAGTGCTAAGGAGGGTTAAATGATGCTAACTATACATTTTCCTGCTCAACTTTCAATACAGCAAGCGCTAAGCAGAAATAAAGTTACTACTTTTTTAACTGTAAAATATTATGATTTTTTTCTCCCTCCTCCAACTCTACCACCAAATGTAGGTAAAGCTCAAAAACTGATACTCATAATTGGGGACCCTGTAACTGAGGACCCGTCATATTATTTCCCTCTTCAAATATGATCCTTTTCTTCCTCACTGCTCTTTCAAATGACTAACATCAAAACCAAAACCAATTTTTTTTAAATGGGGGTCTCGCTGTGTTGCCCAGGTGGGTCTCAGTAAGCCTGTCTTAGCTCTCAAGCAGCTAGGACGACAGGCAAGAACCACTGTACTTGGCCCAAAAAGAGTTTTTAAAAAATTGGTGGAAACTGAAGGCATGGCTCAAGTGGGAGAGTGCCTATCTAGCAAGCATGAGGCCCTGAGTTCAAACCCCAGTGCCACCAAAAATATTTTATTAGCATATATTAACTGTAGAAAGTAATGGGGTTCACTGTGACATTTTCATGTATGTATGCAACATACTTTGATCATATTTATCCCACATTACCCTCTCTTGTTCCCCCTCCCCCCAGGTTCCCCATTCTTCATCCCAAACACCCCTCGCCCACCTCTGCAAGCATTTCAAACTACCTACCTTCTTTTCGGCTTCATATTCAGCCCAAGCTGCTTTCCTTTCTTCTTCAGTCAATTCTTCTTCCTCTTTATGGTCCAGAAGAGAATCATGTTCATGATATCCTACAATGTGTTCTTTATGTATCTGAAGAAGTTCTGCAAGTATGGTATCCTATTTGGAGGGGTTGAAATCACATAGAATTATATTCTTCCTCTGGATCACAAACTACTTTTCACGTTTCTAATATATATTATAAATCACCTAGAAAACAGTCATGAAACATGCAACACCATATTCTTATATCCAAATTTTATGTTTAAACAGCATGTTTAGAGATCTGAAAATTTTTTGTTGAGACAGGGTCTCTCTATGTAACCCAGACTGGACTCAAACTCATGATCCAAGTGCCTAGTGCTGGAATTACAGACATACACCGCCAAGCCCAGTGAGATTCAATTTTTAAACTTTACTACTTTTCAACTTTCAAGGTCTTATCCCTCAACTTAGAAACATTTTATTTATATGCCTTTTGTTTTGTGCTTAATTCTGAATTGATAAATGCTAACATAAGTCTGTTTAAATTAGAGATTATATTGGATACCTGTGCTAAAAATCATGACTCTACCTGGTTACACATATTTAACAACTTTATTTTCATAATCAGTTTAGCTATCAACCACTATACTAACAAAAAAATGGATCTAAATTAATCTAAGAGGTACAGGATGGTTTAACTGGAATACATAAATATAATCTTTTATTTCAACTGTAGGAAGATCAACATAAATTACACTGAAAGGACCCACAAGTCAAATTTAAACTGATAGGCATTTTTCATAAACTTATTACCATAGTGTCTTTTGAAAAAATCATGGTGTCCTAAGTCTGTATTTTTAAGGTTAAAAAATTAAATGCTTGAAAATTGGGATCATTTATATACTCTATAAGAACACCAAACTCCTGTTCTGTGAATTATGACTGTGATTCAGACAAAAGAGAGAGGGGGTGGGGTTTAAGGTGATTTGCTAATCAAGATACTCATTAAGAAATCTCACATGAAAATGTGGATATATGAAAGAAATTTTAATTCACTTTAGGAAATGATTTTCCATGTTTTTTAAACAAGTTCTCCTAGAATACATTTTCTATTCAAACTGAACATGTATTTAGTGAAGGAAAATAATTACTGATTAAATGGCGGTACGGGGAGGTACACACACTAAATTCACATTTAATCTGCATCTAGTAATGCTTAATTCATGTGCAAGTTTTAGCATAGACAAAGTTCACACTCAAAAAGAACTGTGCCTTTACATATTTAACCATGGAATATAGGATCCAAAACTGGTAGGAAATCAAATATCTGCTAAATAACTCAAGATGAAAAATTCAAATCACAAGGCCTTAAGCTTTTTTCTATAAGCAAATGCTGACACCAATTCCATATATTCTTATATTTACTATCTTACATGATATTAAAATGATTTTTAATTTGCTACCCTAATAAACACTTGAAACAGTTATTTCCTTTTGAGAAGTAAAAAAAACTGATTTTCTTAATAGACACTGCTGTAACTGAGTTTATAATTCATTTGGACATGCAGCATGTGTTACTTCCTTTGTTGAAATTAGAAAGCACTAAAAGACCATACAAAGAGAGGGTGTCAGGGAAGTTTATTGGTAGAATACATAGATGCTGACAGATTTAGTTCCTTTTGAAAGTTAACTGAACAGTTCTCTCCTCATCCAGAGTAGAAATCTGCCATCCAAATCTGACTTCTCTGGCCTATGTCACATTGAACAGAGTTGTCATCATAGATCAATCTCCAAAGGACAGTTACTGAAAAGGCAGTCAGGAAGATATGCCAGTCTACACTAATTCACTGCAGTAAAAGATGATGCTTTCTTAAATGTCTGACTCCCATATCCACCCCTGAGCATGACTGAAGAGTTCTAACTTAATAAAAGAAAATATAAAACTAAATCAAACTAGGGAATACTATTATTTGTAACAAGTGGTCATGACAAATACAACTAGAAAAGTTAACTCTTCTATAATAAACTGAATAAATTACAAGGCTCAAATGTTCTAGACACAGTCCCCAATTTTACTTTTGCTTGGCAATAGGCATTAAGTGATGATCTTAAACCATGGTCAATATTAGCCCATTTTTCTAAGAAAGTCACCTAAGCACTATGTACTATGAGTCACCTAAGAACTATGTACTAGGAAATGAATTAATTTTCAGCTATGCCACTTCCTATATCCTTGGATAATAATTTGGTCTGGCTATGAATGTAAGTTAAACATGGAAGAAATACTTTGTTCACAGATGTAATAGGATGATATGAGAACAGCAGAATAAATATTGTATCAATTCAGTACAGTGTTTCTCAGTTACAAACACAATTCAAACAGTACTTTTTATGGTTGGAGGGGAAACCTTTCCAGAAATTCATGTATGCATGTGAATACACAAACACACACACACACATTAAAAATGTCTGACATATCAGGAAGTTTTATCTGATCAGTCCTTAGCATCCTGTAATTTCAAAGCCCAAACTTACTAAATTTCCAACTCCTATCCAGTGACTCCTACCCTATTACACTACAAAGAATGTGTTTTCTTCAGTTTTCTCCATTTCCCAGATCTATTTTTTTTAGATAAAAAAGAAAATCTTCTGAAGGATTCTGGGGAAGGAGAGACACAAGTAGATCTATTTTTTTTTTTTACTTTTAACATTTTTGTATTTTTAGACATTTTTAAACAAGCATATGTTAATTTAATGAAAGAAAACATAAAGACTGAATGAGAATTAGAGACAACTTGTGAAAGGCTAGTTCATGCCTATACTAAACCTAACATGTACTATTTTATCATTTTCATCTTCAAGAAATATTTATTTGGGGAACTCTCAATCTCAATCTATCTCGCTTTTCAAAGAATTTACAAAATTAATAAGAATACTAATACCTAACTACAGAACCTAGAGCTAATTTGCAGTAACATTTATTATATATTCCCCCATTTACACCCCAAGACACATGTGTGCCCTCACAGCTTTGAATAACAATGGGAATGCATTACACTTAGCTTCCCCTCCTCTGCTCCCCCTGCAGCACTGGGGTTTGAACTCAGGGCCTACACCTTGAGACACTTCACCAGCCCCCCCGCCCTTTTTTTGTGAAGGATTTTTTGAGATGGGGTCTCGCAGAACTATTTGCCCAGGCTGGATTCAAACTGCGATCCTCCTGATCTCTGCCTCCTGAGTAGCTAGGATTATAGGCGTGAGCCACCAGCGCCTGGCTTACACTTAGCTTTGAAACCTACTTTTGGACATCATTTTACATCAAATAAAAACCTTCATCATTTTTAATAGCTGCATAGGACTTACATTATATAGACATACTTTATCATCTATTTATTCATTTTCTTTACAGTTTTTAAGACATAAAGATTGCTTCCTGTTTTGATTATTACCAAATCTGCAGTGAAGTGAGTTAATGGATAATTTTAATGTATTTTAATCACTTGTTCATACAGTGATTATGCCAGTAATTTTCAAAGACTTAGACAACTATCTGTGCCATAATCTTACTTTTAATAAAGAAAAGACAGAACAAGTAAGATACTGATTTTTTTTTTAAAGAAAACAGAACATCAATTCTGCTGTTTAGAAGCAGGAAGGCAGAAATGTTTCTTTCCTCCAGAGGGCTATTCAAGACACAAGTAAGAGAAAGACACAAGTTTTCTGATACACACTGTTTCTGAATCTTCTACTTTTAAATTAATTGCAACATTCTTGTCAATACAAAAACCAAATGATGTGATTGAGAGGGCAAAAATATTTATAACAGGATGCTCAGATAATTTTTTTGGGGGGGGGAATTTTGCAAAGTCTAGAACAAGCTATGAAAGTTAATAAAGAAAGGTTTTTGTTTTTCTCCTTTAAAGCAGCATTTATGTTAGTTGCTATAGTAACACTATTATTGAAAACAATACTGGAACAGAATCTATAATCACTAAGCCAACAGTCATCAAAATGAGGTTTAAATTACATCCAAATGTGTACCTTTACTTTTCTTTGTTTAAACTTTATCTTTGCTTAAATAAGTGAAAAGGCCTACAAACTGAAATAAGCCTGGTCTATATTTCAGCTAACAACTTAAATTAGTTTAAGCTTTAAAAATGACTAGTTCAATTAATAAAACAAAATTAATGATAAATTAGAAGTTTAAGTTAATTTATTTAGAAGTTTAAAGTATCTGGCAAGCTGACAAGAATTCTTATCTAATTAATTCTGAAATTCAACCTTGAAAATAAAATTGTTAAAAAATAATCAAGGCTTTGCCTGAGGGGAGGATAGGGGGTTTGCCACATTTCAAAAATATTTTGCTTGCCATCACTTTGAATTTGAGTTTTATAATATCTGGAAATAAAATGTCACTAGAATACTTAACTGCCACATGACCCACTCAAAAAGCTATGAAAAATTCCTTTTATTACTTAAATAAGTCTAGATTCTTAAAAGAAATCTAGTATTCTTGGTCAAAAAGCTTTCAAATTTGAAGCCTCTTTCTTTCCAAACTGCACTGGAAAAAATGTAGTGCATTTGATAAGGAACTAGAAAGTTTATTGAATGAAGTTCTCATAACACCTCATATCAGATTTTTTGGTTCAAGAGCACATAACCTTTGCCAAGGAGCATTTATAAATATATCCAGATTCCCAAACTGTTGGTAGGAATAAGATAGTGACAACTATGGAACTTGTCACTTTCAAGAAAGAAAAGACAAGCCTTCCAAACTGACTTTGTTGAAGGCCTCCACTAAACAGTGTTTTCTCCTTAATTTAACATTTAAAGAATTAGATGCTATATTCAGCATTTAACCTTTAAAAATGGGTTATCCATTACAATTATGCCACATGCCGTGGTTAGGTGCAACGCTGTCATTCTAGATTTTATATGACTGCAGTGATGTTCTAGAGATTGCTGCTCTCCAAGCACAGATTGAACTGGAAATCAGTTCTCTTCCTACACAATCTGGAGTTCATATTATCTGTATTTCACAAACATTATCATCTCCTCTAACTCAACCTAGGTATGTTGTAACAAGGAAACAGAAAGACATACAAAATAGGAATCAAAGCAGGTATTTACCAGTT